GGCGGCGCTCCGCTCATGTACTACAACTCCCAGCAGGCTCCGCACACGCCTCATGCGCGTCGCTGGCTGCTGACGTATCGCCATAGCGCGGGGAATTTCGAGTAGCTGTGGAGCGCGGGGAGGACAGTGGGTGACGGACCCCCCAGCCTACTTAGGAGAAGCCATGGACTCCCAAGTCGAGCCTCGGTGGCCTCCAGGCTTGGCAGTCATGAAGGTGAGTGGTCTGGGGAGGTTGGGGGCACCCGGGTGTCCGGGACGCCAGCCCCGCCTTGAGGAGGAGAAAGGATGTGATGTGAGCCTCGAGCTGGGCCAGGGTACCCGGTTCGGCTCTGCCCCTGGGCGACCTGGTAGATTTGAGCCTCCTGCTGAGAAGTGACGGTGTCAGGCCTCGGTCCCTTATGGGGAACTTATGTTGGTCGCCTTTTGGAACCGGGTATTTTCAGCAAGAACAATGACCTCGAGAAGAATAGTCCAAACGGTGAAAACGACAGTGACAACTAATCCTTTCTGAGGGCCTACTACTTGTCGAGCATTACGTAAACTCTCGCAGTACATTAGTTGAGAATTTCCCCTAGTGACAACGGACTTGATTTGGTTTGAACCCTCCATCAGATAACACTTATTTAATCACCTAGCGAAACAGGTCGTCTCCTTCCCATTCTTTCATTTCTTCTAATCACCTTGTGCTGGTTTGCTCTAACCCCTCCCTGACCTGTCCTAACTCCTAACAGTTGTGCATCGCTTTTAAACAAGATCAGGGTTCAGGCTCAGCCTTAGCCTTTTGTTTCATTGTATTATTTCACTTAAGTAACTTTTTTTTTTTTTTTGCAAGTCATTCCAGTTCCATTTGCTATAGTGGTGAGCCCTGGGTTCCTGCTGTGCTTGATCAAGAGCAAATACACTTTGCTGTGCTAGCTAAGAATCAGTTGCTTGGTTTTTCTTCTTGCTCTGTAATTATGCATTTCTGTTTGTGTGCAAGACCACTTTCTAGTTGTTATTCCTCAGTTTTGTAAATTTGGGGATTATGGTGTTTGTCCCACTGACTCATAAGACTTGACTTTGAGGATTAAGTGAGGGGACTTGGGGGATAGGGTCTTATTCTTTTTACTGTCATCAGTGTCATCTACAGAGCTTGGGGACTCGAGATAGCCCCATGGTGAAAAGCTGACATTGTGGAGGGGTCTAGGAAGGCTGTGGTTTTGGAGATGTGGTGGCCTTGACACAAAGTTACAGTGGAAAGGAACATAGATTTGAGTTCAGGGGTCCTGGGTTAGATCTGGTGTCTGGCTCTTATTTAACCGTGTCATCTTGAGTCGGCTACTTAACCTGCCTCAGCCTGAATTTCTTCAAAGTGGAGACGAAAATAAATAGTTCATACGGTTAGTTAAATGAGTTGATGTGTGTGGGTAGGGATCTTGTCTGGCTTATTCACTGTGCTTGGCACATAGTGCATGTTCAAAGATTATTTGCTGATGGGTTGAAGGTGGTATCTGGAAGGTACTAAGCATTCAATTAATACGTCTTTATTATCATCATTAGCACTTAACATGTGTGAAGTGTTCCTTTCATCCCTTTTTATTTGTTGTTGTGAAGATTGAATTGGATAAAGGAAATAAAAGCTTATAAAGCTTTTTGATGTGTAGATTTGAGCATATTTTATATATTACTACAACTTCCACAATGTTCTTTAGAAGCAGGTTCCATGTCTTCTCTGGATTTGATGTCTCACCAGGGCACTGAATACAGGGTTCAGCCCCCGACAGTGTTCAATGATGGGGTTGACGGAGCCCATATTAGAATCATAGTGGAGAGTCAGCCCCCTTCCAGTATTTCTTTTCTACTTTTCTAATAGGTCTTTTATTTTGTTTTTATTGTTCGTACCTCTTAATGCTCTTCATTTTGCCCTTCCCCCATCCACTTCCCAGGTGGCAACCACCAGTTGTCTGTATTTAAGGGGCTGTTTTTTCATTTTTTTGTTTTTTTAGATTCTACATATAAGTGAAATCATGTGGTGTTTGTTTTCCTCTGTCTGGCATATTTCACTTACATATTACCCTCTGGATCCATCCATGTTGTCACAAATGGCAAGATCTCATTCTTTTTTATGGCTTCGTAATGTTACATTGTATATATGTGCCATATCTTTTCTATGCATTCATCTATCCATGGACACTTGGGCTGCTTCCATACCTTGGCTTTTGTAAAAAATGCTACAATAAACATAGGGGTGCATATGTCTAGTAGTGGAATTACTGGATCATATAGTATTTCTGTTTTTAATTTTGTGAGGAACCTCCATAGTGTTCTTCACATTGGTTGCACCAATTTACATTTCTACCAACAGTGCAGGAGGGTTCCCTTTTCTCCACATCCTCACTAACACTTGTTATTTCTTGTCTTTTTGGTACTAGCCATTCTGACAGGTGTGAGGTGATATGGTGGTTTTGATTTGCATTTCTCTGATGATGAGTGATGTTGGGCATCTCTTCGTGTCTGTTGGCCATCTGTATGTCTTCTTTGGAAAAATGTCTATTCAAGTCCTCGGACCATTTTTTAATTGGATTATTTGGGGGGTTTTTTGGTGTTGAGTTGTATAAGTTCTTTATATGTATTTTAGATATTAACCTCCCATTGAGTGTATCATTTGCAGACATCTTCTCCCATGCAATGGGTTGCCTTTTTTGTGTTGTTGATGGTTTCTTTTGCTGTGTGAAAGCCTTTTATTTTGGTGTAGTCCCAGTGCTTGGATGTTTACTTTTGTTTCCCTTGCCCGAAGAGACATATCTATAAATATGTTGCTAAGGTGATGTCCAAGAAATTGCTGCCTAGGTTTTCTTTTAGGAGTTTTTTGGTTTCAGGACTCACATTTAAGCCTTTAATCCATTTTGAATTTATTTTTTACATGGTGTAAGAAAGTGCTTCAGTTTCATTCTTTTGCATGTAGCTCTCCAGTTTTCCCAATACCATTTATTGAAAGGACTGTCTTTTCCCCATTGTATATTCTTGCCTCCTTTGTTGTAGATTAATTGACAGTATAGGTGTGGGTTTATTTGTGGGCTCTCCCTCCTGTTCCATTGATCTATGTGTTTTAATCCCTTTATAATGTATTTGCCAATTTGTTACATAGTTTCTGCTTGAACTTTTCCAGGGACAAAGAATTAGCTGCTCCTGGAAACTGTGTTTGAAGCTTTCTTCCTTTGAGGTGAAATCTGCCTCTCAATCCCAATAATCTAGGATCCATGGACAGACTTTTGTATTTGAAATTATTTATAAAATTTCTGTTTGTATGTGTTTTCCTGAGAAGAGAGTTCATAGTTTTTATCCCTATTTTAAAAGGGATCTGTGACCAAAAAAACTTAAGAACTTTTTCTCTAGTTATTAAGTCTTTTCACTCACTTTTTCCTTCCTCCTTCCACTTTGCCCTCTTCTATCTAAGTTGAAGAAGCCCTGGAGCATTCCACTTGACCGCTCTCTGTTTCCTGCACTGCATGTTACGGTCTTGAAGTGGCGTGACCAGAAGTTTTTACAAGAATGTTATAGTTCATCTGATACAGTATCACCTTCCACAAATCTTGCTGGGCATGTGTCAGAACTACTCCTCCAGAAGAGAGAGGATGGTTAGGTAGAAGAAAGCACAAGAGAGTGGATGCTCGGACTCTGGCTTCCGGTCCTGTCTCTGCTCTTAATTGATTTTCAACACAGTCTTCTAGTGGTTGGTGTCATTGGTAGCTTACCATCGAAAATATTAGAAGATTTTGACATTTTAATGTTTATTTCCCTGGATTTTTAACAATAGGAATTTCTAGTTTTGACAGATTATGAATGGAGTATGTATATAGAGTAGAAAAAATTAAAATTCAGATTAAAGAAAAGAACAAATGAAAGTTACTTATCATCCAACCATCCAGAGATAACCACTGTTTAATGTTTTCTCCTGTTTTCCTTCAGTTTTTCTTGTGTATGATGCATATATGGATTTAAAATTTGGGAACCCTTTGGAGTCCACTTCTTGGGTTTGATTCAACCACTTATAAACACTGTAGGCTTCATCTTTAAAACTGGGATATAGATAGTATAGACTTCATAAGATTATTACAGAGATTAAACTGTATAGTCTTATTGTGATGTATTGTAGATTTGTTCTCTGATTTTTGTTTTGTTTTTTTAGTTTCCATTAAACATGAACGTTTTCCCATGGCATTAATTATTCTTTAAAAGTGTGTGTTTTTTTTAAATGGCTACACAGTATTTCATCGTATAGACTGTTAGTGACATTAGTCGTTTTTGTTTGTATTTTTAAAATTTAAGTAATACACTCATAGTTAAAAAATATGAAATGAAAAGTAAAAGTCTCCCTTCCAACTTGTCCCTTATCTGTCCAGTATTCTGACCCCCGTTGCCATTATTTATTACTTAATGTGTGTCTTTTCAGAATTTCTTCATATGTATCCAAGGTAAAAATAGAATACATATTTATTTTACCCTCTCTTTTTAACAAAAAGTAGCCTGCCTCACTTCCTCTTTGCACTTACCTTGGCAGTCTTTCCATATTGGTACATGAGAAAGCTCCTTCTTTTTTTTTCTTTTTTCTTTTTTCTTTTTCTCTTACATATCTGCTCAGCATTCTGTTGAATGCAGAATAACATTTTATTTTAAATGGTTTAGAAGATTTTGGGTTGTGAGAATAGATCCTTTCCTGTTTGGATTGCATTCCAGGCTGATGCACATCTGTCTTCCTTCCCAGGTTAACTGCTGCCTTACTTCTGCTGTCACTGGCTCTACCTCTTTCCAGGGCTTCCTCATTTGGCTCTACCGTATAGTAACTAATGTGGTATTATGCAGAAAGCATGGGACTGACTGCCATTAGGGAGACAGGAAGTTTTGTCCTGGCTTGACTTATGCCCATTATGTGTGTTTGCTTCCTCATTTGTGAAGTAAGGGTTTCAACTAGATGCTTTTGAGTGTTTGACTTTATTCTCTAATTTTGTCCTTAACTTGTGTGGTGAATGCTTGCTGGTACCTTTTACCCAACAGTGACTGTAGGCCAGGGAATGGGGTCTGAAGAGGAAGAAGCTTGGAGTAAGAGCTGGAAAACACATGGCAAATGGAACAGGAATGGAGTAGCCCTTTTGTGAAGGGTTGCCGATACGGAGCAGGAATCTGTAGTGTCACTTTATCTGTCTTAAAGCCTTTTTGGTAACCTGACATTTGAATGTGTAAGTCATGTGGGAGAGGTTTTTCTCTATTTGTCAAGATCTCTTGCAGTTTATGTGGAGTTAATTTTGGGTTTGTATATTCACAAAGGAGTATTATTAAATTGGGTTTTTTAGAGGATGGAGAAAGTTCTGTGGCAGATGGTCCAGTCTTGGTGGCTCTCTGACAGGTATATATGAATTTTTGCATTTCAGACACTAGATGATTTGCTGCGGTGTGGAATTTGCTTTGAATATTTCAACATTGCAATGATGATTCCTCAGTGCTCACATAACTGTAAGTATGCACTGTCTCTGTGAGCTAGTACAAGTGTGGTTTTTATCTAAGATAGTGTTAATTTAACGCTCATTTATTTCTTACCGTTAGCTCCTCTATCTTGAGGTTTTCAGAAGGTATTTTCTGCCATCTTCCTCTTGGATATTTTTTTTTAAAGCAGAAAATTATTATATTTCAATACACAACTTTTGTACAACCAAAAAGTACAACATCACTGTAAAGTGTTGGTGAGAAAACATAGTATTTCATTTGCAGTGCATGGCAAATAGTTAATATCCTTAATCACAAATGATCTCTTAGAAACCAGTAACAAAGACATTAACATGCTTAACAAACATTAATATGCTTAACAAACATTAATATGCTTAACAAAGACATTTCCAAGGGAAATGAACAACAACAACAAAAAAACACAGAGGAAGGTGAAACAACAAATAACTAGTAAGGGTTAAGGACATATAAAGATGACTGAACTGGGGCGCCTGGGTGGCTCAGTCGGTTAAGTGGCTGACTTCAGCTCAGGTCGTGATCTCATGGTTCGTGAGTTCCAGCCCCGCGTCGGGCTCTGTGCTGACAGCCTGTTTCAGATTCTGTGTCTCCCTCTCTCTGACCCTCCCGTGTTCATGCTCTATCTCTCCCTGTCTCAAGAAAAAGAAATAAAACGTTAAAAAAAAAAAAAAAAAGATGATTGAACTGAACAATAACAGAAGAGAAGCAATGTCTTTGTAACATCACATTGTCAAAGATTAAAACACTGACATCTAATGTTTGTACTGTTTGAGAAAACAGAAGTCTCATAAATGCAGGGGGACAGGATGGATGACAATCTAAACAGTTTTGGGAAATGTCTACTTTTGACTCAAAATACTAATTTTGTGTATCCTTATTTCCAGTGAACTGGAACTACTGGGACTATTTCAACAGATTAGTTGGAGAAATTCACAGTAATTTATATATGAGCATGTTCACCACATAAAAATTTATAGCTAATGTGGGGGCCCATAAGACCATTTGCATAATAGTTTGTTTATCAGTGTACCCCAAAAGGATATGCACAAAACTCCATTAACAGATAATGTAGGGAAGTGGTATTAGAAGGGGAGAAAGCATTTAGGAAGTAAAAATGGTATCCTTCACAAATTTCTGTGTCCTTTGAAATCTGGGAAAAGATACCTTTTTATGAATCAATTTTAAATTTACCCTGTGATAAGTGAAAATTATAAATATGTGCACTTCATACTTACGGGAACACTGAGATGAAGCCTTGTAATCATACCATCATGAGCTCGTCTGTGTCATGACATCTCCATCATTCAAGCTCCCAATATTTATTAAAAAAATTTTTTTTAATGTTTATTTATTTTTGAGACAGAGAGACAGATTGTGAATGGGGGAGAGGCAGACAGAGAAGGAGACAGAATCTGAAGCAGGCTCCAGGCTCTGAGCTGTCAGCACAGAGCCTGACGCGGGGCTCAAACTCATGAACTGTGAGATCGTGACCTGAGCTGAAGTCAGACGCTTAAATGACTGAGCTAGCCAGGCGTCCCTCAAGTTCCCAATAGTTAGTCCAATATCAATAATGAGAAGACTCAACGTCTCTGATCACAGTTCTTTCCAGTGACACGACACTCTTTAGGTAGCTTTCAAACATGAGTGTTCTCAGTCCAGTTTTTCTTTTTAAAGGTTTATTTATTATTTATTTTCAGAGGGGGGACAGGGGGAGAGAGAGAGGGAGAGAGAGAATCCCAAGCAAGTGCCACGCTGTCAGTGCAGAGTCCCATGTGGGCCTCAGTCTCACAAACTGTGAGATCATGACCTGAGCCAAAATCAAGAGGCAGACGCTTAACTGATGGAGCCACGCAGGCCCGTCTCAGTCCAGTTTTTCTGATCTGCAAGGACTGTCCACTCCAGTACACGAAAGAGGAGTGTCCATGCATCATGAAGACTGTCTTTTGGATTTGAAGATGCTGGCAGAAGCAGTAGCGTCAGTTTTACATGTAGTCATCACTCATTGCGCCAAGGCTTATTCCTGGGACCGGAGATGGGAGTGAAGACCGCGTGAAGGAGTAATATTGCCACCAGAGGTCTGGTAGTACCAGTTCTTGCGACTACAAGCAGAGGTGGCAACAGTGTGTTTTCCTGAAGCTCTCATCTCCTGTGGTCTCCATTTAAGACTTACGAAGTAGGAAAGTCCATCGGACAAGGAATATTCCTGATGTCACCTGGCCTCAGGTTATCTGTAAATCTCTTCCTTTCATCGTGTTCATCTCAAATCCCACCTTCTCCCATGTTTTCTTGGATCCCCTCTTGGATATTTTTATGCCTTTTTTAACGCTGTAGCAATGAAAATTTTAGTCTTTATTTGCCAAGTACTTTTAGATGTTAGATTTCAGAATTTTTGTTTTGTAACAGAATAACGTACAGGTAGTTCATGTAGTCCTTGGCATACATGTATATAATTCAGAGTTTAAAAATATATTCAAATATATTCAAAGTTTAAAAATCCCAGTGGGAGAATTCCCACTGAGGAGTATTACCCTTAACTTGCTGTGTGACTGTGATTGTAATATATTGAGATTTGTTCGTACTTCTTTTTGTGTCTACTGTGTATTTTTTATACTGTAGCTTAAGGTATTTAATGCATAGTGGTGAGCCTGTCTTTGTTTAAGAGCTGGCCATCCAATGAACGGGTCATCTAGGTTCATGATCTTTCTTGTCCTCTATTTTCTTTCTTTTGTCCTCTATTTTCAATTGATTTGTCTTAGAAGGTTAGAGACAAGGTAGGCTTAAAAGATGATTTTGGTGGGTAGTAGTAGCATTGGTGAAGAAGTTTCTATAGCAAAGACGTAAGAGGGTGGTGCTGGTAGCAACGTGGGTGTTAGAGATGTTACTAGGCTTGACTCTTGACTCCCCTCCCTTAACCAGGCGGGTTAACTTGCAAATGCTAACGTTTCTTCAAATGTAAAAATTTGATGAGTCATTTCTACTTTAAAAGGTGATTGTGAAGGGGCCCTGGGTTGGCTCAGTCGGTTAAGCCTCGGACTCTTGATTTCAGCTCAGGTTCCTGAGATGGAGCTCGCGTTTGTCACTATGCTGACAGCCCGGTGCTTACTTGAGATTCTCTCTCTTCCTCTTTCTGCCCCTCTCTCATTTTTATGGGCACACTCTCTTTCTTTCTCAAAATAAATAAACTTAAAAAAAAAAAAGATAATTGTGAAAACTAAATGTGCAGAGCCCAGTGTCTGGCATGGTATATATAAGTCCTCAATAATTGTTAGTTCTTTTCTAGGGTAGATTCACATTAGTTACCAAGATAAGTTTTAGGAATTATTTCTAAGTATGAGTTAAAATAATCTTTAGGTATAATTTACATTAATACATTATATCCATTATACGACGTAAAGGGTACAAGCATAGTTGAGGTTTGACGAAGGTGTATACCATGTAACCAGTATAGTTAAGATATTGTACATTCTATCCCCTGACAGAGTACTCCCCATAATAGTCAATATAGCTTCAGGCAGTAATGTGTGTGTCTGTTTCTGGACTCTTCTGTTCCATTGTTCTCTATGTTTATCCTCGTGTCAATACCACACTCTCTTAATTACTGTAGCTTTGTAGTAAGTCTTGATGTCAGACATTTTAAGTCCTCTCATTTTGTTTTTATTTGGACCTTTTAGGATCTTTGCATTTTATATGCACTTTCTTTCTTTCTTTCTTTCTTTCTTTCTTTCTTTCTTTCTTTCTTTCTTTCTTTCTTTGTTTTTTTTAGCGTTTTTTTAATTTTGAGAGACAGAGTGTGCATGCAAGTGATGAGCATGAATGGGGGAGGGGCAGAGAGAGGGAGAGAATCTCAAGCAGGCTTCGCACTGCACAGAGCCTATAGCACAGAGTGCCCACGGGGCTGGATCCCATGAATGATGAGATCATGACCTGAGCTAAAACCAAGAATCTGATGCTTAACTTGACTGAGCCTCAGGCACCCCCTACCTTTTTGTTTTTTATTTGTCCATCTCTTTCTTATCCTTCTGCTTTTTAAGAAATAATTGAACATTTTGGGGCGCCTGGGTGGCTCAGTCGGTTAAGCGGCCGACTTCGGCTCAGGTCGTGATCTCGTGGTCCGTGAGTTCGAGCCCCGTGTCAGGCTCTGTGCTGACAGCTCGGAGCCTGGAGCCTGTTTCAGATTCTGTGTCTCCCTCTCTCTCTGACCCTCCCCTGTTCATGCTCTGTCTCTCTCTGTCTCAAAAATAAATAAACGTTAAAAAAAATTAAAAAAAAAAAGAAATAATTGAACATTTTAAGTATTAACTGTTTTCCACAATTGACTTACTAGCTCTGCTTCTTTGTTTTATTATTTTAGTGGTTGTTTAAAATATGCCTCTTTAATTTATAACAATCTCCTTTCAAACAGTGTTATGCCATCTGAATAGGGTAGAAATGTTACAAACATGTACTTGCGTTTCCCCCTGTCATCCTATTGTTGTCTTTAGTTTTATGTGTACATATATTATAGACAGCACAATACATTGTTATTATATGTGCTTTAGAGAGCCCATTATCTTTTTTTTTCTAAGAAGGCTACATGCCCAGCGTGGAGCCCAGTTCAGGGCTTGAACTCACCACCCTGAGTCAAGACCTGAGCTGAGATCAAGAGTCAGACGTGTAACCTGCTGAACTACCCAGGCACCCCTGACAGTCCATTATCTTTTAAGCAAATTAAAAAATTTCTTTTTTGTCTTTTGTATTTACCCACATATTTATCATTTCTGATACTCTTCTTTCCTTTGTATGTATCAAAAGTTTCCTTCTGGAAAAAGTATCATTTTTTTTTTCTCTCTGCTACATTTCTTGCAGTATAGTTTGCCAAAGAATTCTGTTTAGCGTATGAAACCAGATGTGGTATTCTTATTTATAGCTTTCTGTATATAAGGTGCCTTCTTTCCTTAGCTACTTTTCAGATTTTCTCTTTACCAGTGGTTTTTAGAAATTTGTAATATGCT